GTGTGTATACATATATGATAAGTTACCCACCAAACAATTTGTGTTGCCAGCAATAAGAAAATGTGTCGCTCTCGGAAACAAATTTATTGCCGGTAATATTGCCATCGAATCGATTTCCTATTACCGGTCGCTTTAAAACGTCCGCCGAAGGCAACTCGCCTGGGCGAGTCGTTTTCTTATTACCTGAATAAGTCCTTTTCTTATCGCTTCAGGCGATATTTGGAATAATTTTATTCTTTTTAATACTTCATTTATTTTTTTGTATACCAAATTGCAACTTACAATCGGAATTAATTCATTTTCTCGCTGTGAGGCTTCCTATTTTTTCAATCTTGTCCTTGGGCATAATTTAGATGCTTTTGGCCAATACTATTGACGCCATATTCATAAGTTTCGGAATTTTTGAGAACTTTTTTATTCAAAATTGACATGAATGAAGTGATGTTGCCGATTTGTCACCACAGCAATAAAACGGTGAGTCGCCAATTTGTTGCCATTGACGATTGTTGCCTATTTCTCATGTTTTGCATGGTGGGTTCTAAAAATGGTTGATTTGGCTTCTGGTGCTCTAATAAAGACCGCCCGCATTAATTTTTCTTTAATATCTATAATGTACAGACATCGACCTGTTTCAATTTTATTATATGTATAGATATGCTCAATAGCGAATTACTATAATGCGATCTATAGATTTGCCAAGCACTCCACCCTGGAAAATTTCGAACGTTTCATCCAAAATTCGAGGGCCATAATTGAAAATTGGCTATCGGAGTATACGCTCACATCATTGGATTTCATCTATTAGATTTGAGAGCATACAAACCCCCGGATAATTTTAGGACATCTACCTCCGCTTGGAAAATAATACGGGAACTTTTACAAACCCTGTTATAGGCATTTAATCCTTCCGTGAAAGGAAGGTATGTGGTGAGGGATCCACCATCATCCAACATCGGTGTACATTATTCGGACTGGCATGAACAAGAAGCTCTTTATGATTCCGGTAGGCCCTTAGTTCGAAGTGAACTAATAGCGTTCGACCGTTAGCGAAGTGTGGCACGGATTTCAGCTAGGACTGCTCTTTCTACTATCTCCAACTGCTTAACCATATTGATCCTATATAATACGCCCTATCAGATGGAAACACCATACTTTGAGACCAGTTAAAAACATTTACATAAACTCAATAAACCATCCGCGGCTGTAAGTGACAACACTTGCCAATGATCAACCCACTGCCTGGAAATAAAACCACTGATTCACTCTTTCCTCTAACTTTACTTACTGGAGCTTACAAAATACTAGCTCGTTGTCTACGATCAAGTCCAGATACTTCACTCTGTCTGATGGCGCAAGAGGAATGCCACCCAATTGGAAAAGGGCACACTTTTGCAAGGGTTTACATCTAGTCGGCAATTATCAGCCCGGGTTACAATCAAGTTCGGACTAAGTTTATATAGGCTGCCTAATACTTAACTTCCCTCCAACAATAAGTTCTACGTTATTCGCCTCAGATGCATACACTATTTTATGGGATTGTGCAATCCTCAAACAGCATCGTAGTTAATTCCTCTCTAGTATTTGAGTTCATTGAGAAACCTAAAGCTCTTGATGAACGCAATAAGATGTATTTAGCTGGTGCTAAGATAATAGAAGAGAGCTATGTAGCAAACGGCTTAGCCAGGAAGTCAGCCGTCTCAACTTCCACTTAGTTCAAAAGAGACCGCTTGTCACTTGAGTGTGGGGCCAAAAAATGAGCCCATACGATTCCTATCCACCCGAAAAATACTTTTGACTTTTTAAGAAGTTTAGGATTAAACGACATGTTATGAATAGTATATTATTATCTATTTATGTAGCACCTACGATTTGTATGAAAAAGTTGTTCCTGAAATAAGTTCCTGTTAATCCAAAAACGATAGGCATCGACCAGAGCAATCAATCCTGTCTGGAAAACTATTACGATGCCTAGCAGAGAGAAGGCTTTTCATACTCAACTCTAAGCTACATATTTGAACATTAGGTCTTTAAGTGAGTTCAGAAAGATGTAACGAATTTTCTATTTAAGTGGGAAAGAGATGGAAAAATGATCCCGAATGCATGAGGAGCCAAGAATTTGACGAAATGTGGTCGGAATATTGTCTGGCAGTGATGGATAGGTTAGAGTAAAGTTGTTTTCCACAGACAGTTATTGTGATTTTTGATGAATACCCCCATAACTGAATGGATACCATTAATTTTGTCGGCAAAACGCCCCAAACCGATTGTGAAATTTGAAATGAGGCTAATTTCAATGACCGAGCGCTCGCAAAGGCCAGGTAGTCTAATAGAAAATGCTGATATGATTTCAACGCATCATCTTCGTGATAGCTGATACAAAGGGATTAGGTAAAACTATCAACCTCATCGCTTGAATACCACTACCAATAGCGACGCCTGAGGCTTTGCAAGCATAAGGAGCCTCTTTTGACCACCTCCAGTCCACCTCAGGTCAGAAGGATCTTGGAATTGCTCATATCCTAGTAATGGCCTAGCGCTCGCTGAGCTTACATGAGCCGTTCAAGAGTGAACCGCATGAGAACCGAGACGTCCCCAGCTGATCCATACCAGGGTGCCTTTGCTTGCCAAGCCAACAGACACACAGTTTTATGCAATAGCTCGGCACCCAAATTTAGCCTGATTACTTATTAAGGACACCGACGCTGTTGACATAGAGGTCAACCATTCCCTTACTGATCTCAAGCGCACTACCATAGGATTCAGGGCCCTGATAGCCAGCTGGCTATCAGAGTATATGCTGACTTCCATGACTGACACTCTGGAGCAGTGAGTCCACCGCTTCCTTGATGGCTGCTGTCATAGCTTGAAATACACTGCAGAAGTCCGGAAGCCTGAATATAGTTTTAATAGAAGGTTCCTGACGGAATACACCTCCACCAAGTTTGCTTCCTTCTTGAGGGAATATACATAGTTACGGAAGGAGCTAGCGACAGATATTTCAAAGGTGAAGAAATCTGCTTGTTCAGGGACGAAATCAAAGCCCTCCGGAACTACATATTGCTCCATTTTCGAACCGGTTGACAACCTGGATTCCCTAAACTCAATGGCAGTTTTTGCTGCATGGCATTAAGTGCCAGTGTAGGCGTGGTTTTTGATGACCCAGTTATGCCGATTAGAGCCGATCGTATTGCATACCAATAGAACATTTTGAAAGATCATGTATTGAGGATTTGAAAGCAATTTCACGCAAGTTTTAACAAACAGCTGCCTAGTGAAATACCCTCCTGGAGAGCAAACCGGGTGGAGGACGCCAAATCGATAAGAAAACTGTCTTGGGAGCGAAGTTTTGTGTTCAAGCCAATGTTTATAGACTGTGATTATCTGAATCTTAAAGTTCAACTAAAGAAAGAAAGAAAAATATATTCGTTTTTCCGATCTATACAATTTCAAATATTTTATAAAAACAAATTCTTAACCGTCCGTATTTACTCTGAAAACATATTTATTCAATTATGTGGCTGTCGTTTCCACCACTACTTACTCATGCGAAACGTGTTCACCCATCAGCACATATTCCGAGTCCTTTGGATCACACCAACCTATCAGGTAGGTGAAAAGATTCGGACAAGGGCCAGCATAGAAACCACGCGTCGTCGTTATCGACTCAATGAAGTAAGGAGTGACCTTCGTGTGGTCACAGGCCAGCGTTTCTGTAGGACAAAAAAATTAATTAAAGATGTATAGTCGCCTCAGCAGAGGGAATTCTAACAAAAACTCACGAAATAGCGTCGGTGAACCCACGCAGGCCGGCTGCCGCGTGCCACCGTTCACATAGAAGTCCGCATGTCCACTCGAGTGCCACTGACCCAAAATACCGGCGCCAGTGTGCAGCACATCGACAAAGTTAGCATCGCTCGAATCCAAATCACGCGAATTATTTGTGCCCGCATAGAAGAAAATCGTCGGATCCAAAGCGGTGATGCGTCCCAACTTACCTTCGCTCGGTTTCAAATAGTTCGCCATAAGTCCGGCAATATGCGCGCCCACGCTGTAACCGATCAAATGCAAATCATCCGGCTTTACGCCACGCGGATGACGCGCCAAATACTTGACCAACTGTGAGATGCATAGGCTGCCAAAGCGTGGAGCCCATTCCATTTGACTGAGGCAGGGCTCCTTCACCGCATCAGCATAATCTACAATGATGATATTATAATCGCCTATGGTGAAGTAGGCTTCACGCAAATCTGGGCTGGGGCTATTGTTGCGGCCGCCACCGAAGCCGTGTATTATAATTTTGGTGGGATGCCGAGGATTGAAGTGGGTGTAGTAGAGTGCATTGTCGCCCAGCACATCGATGAATTCGGGATGCTGTTGAGTGCGGCGCGTATAGAGGTAGAATTGTATTTTGGGATGTGGGCAACGATATGGCTTTTCCAGACACGACTCGGTGACGTACACCTGATTGGTGTCGTTTTTGCGCTGCGCAACTAAAAATAAGAAACAGCGGGGTGACTAATGAACGATTCAAGGGAATTATAGTCTTACAAATTACAAAAAAGAGCTCATGAAAATTTATTTTATCAATAAAATTTGCACACTTTTCTCTTATCTAATCACTTTCACAAGTTTCGTAACAACAGTTGACAGATTTTTATGCTCAAAAATTTAAATGCAGATATTTTCTTTAATTATGTTTGTATCGAATAACAAGCATATTTGTTAGCGTGTGGATCATAACAATCAAGTCCAAGTTTTTACGTCAACCCCAACTGGTTTTATTTGCGTGGCGCCAAAACTTCCAGCCAGTGTTTGTTGTTGTTGCGCCACTAGCCATGCATATTGTTGCCAGCAAAGTTTGGCGGAAGTAACAGATTCACACTCGCCATACGACATTGCAATTGGCCGGTAAAGCATGCAACATGCCACAAGCAGCATGCCGCACGCCATTCAAGTTTAGCGCGCAATCGGATTGCTTAGTGTTGCAATAAAAAGTAAACGAAATCTGGTTACTTTTGACATAAATTTATTACAATTCATTCACTTCCAAATGCGGAAGCGTCAACTTTATTTACCATCAAATGTACTGCTATGACTTAAATAAAGTTAGTTTGTTAGTTAATCTATGGTTCGGTTAGGTTAGAAAGACGTGTATGGAAAGTTCCATACTTCTACCAGGAGCATATCTTGTTGCTCATTGTGAGCGCCCCTTCTCATGAATGCCAAAGAGAAACGAAAGAATTGTCAACAATTAAACCTGTTGGAAATGAAATTGAAAAGGTATAACAGTTTCCCCTTCACTACTTCCTATGTATGTATGTCTGCCAGAATGGTAAAGAAGCGTGTCTCCAGTCCTTTAGACTACAGGTCCGGACATCGACACACAGAAAAAGGGCGTCATACATAAAAGGTGAAGTTAAGCTCAGTTTTTGCACTGTTGAATTGAGCTCAAACTCAATAACTTGTGCTGTGCCTAGACATTGTTGGTTGACTGTATAAAGTATTAGTACCAGGTTGACAGACCTTTGCTCGGAGTGCATATCGACGGTACGTTGGCAAAACCTCGTATCTCAGAACTCACTACTACTTCGCATCTCGTAAAACTAATTAAAAAAAAAAACAAAGCATTCGATTTAATTGACAATAGTCAAACTACATAACGTAGA